ACACTCTAAAGAGAAAGGAAAAAATGAAATCGCATCATATGACCCCTTTAAAGCTTTCTATAGATATATTTATCATGTCTGTGAGGCGTGTATTCGCTGAGTTTCGGTTCATTTTTGTGAAGCGCTCCTGTTCAAGACGAGACGGCAGAAAGCGCATCATGTTTGTTTTCTTTATTTTATAAAAGTTTTGTTGATATTGTGAGTGCACACGAATAAAAGTAGACCCGTTACAGTTCCAAATGATGTATTACTCTTACCTTTATGAGCAAAAATGACGGCGTATCCACTGAGAAAAAATGCAAGTGATCGCGCTGGCGCATCCATGTCCTGCAAAGTGCGCTTTAGCTTGCACTCTCCGCACAAACTATTGGATACAGCACACATTTAGGCCTATCTAGGTTTAACGTTTAAACATTGTTATATGCTTGAACTGTTTTATATCTATAGATTTTATTTTAGGCAAGTCGTGATGATTTGAGAAGGCTAAATTGATCAAACATAGACTCACTGTCTGCCGCTGGCCTCTTGGTCTATGAACTATGGAACTATGATGAAACAGTGCTAAATATATAGCGTTATGTCAAAATACTAATTTATTTAATTTTAAATTAAACAAATGTAATCCTGATAGTATTCCCACTTTTTACACAATGTAACTGTAATCAGAATACTTTGTTTTTTGATGTAACTGTAACGGATTACAGTTACTAGATTTTTGTATCCTGATTACGTAACGCCATTACATGTATTCCGTTACTCCCCAACCCTGGTAAGATTTTAAAACAGTTTTGTCTTAAATCAATATCTTTTATTGCCATAATTATTTATGTGGTGAAATGTTGTGTAATAAGTGGTATGACTGCATCATTTCCCTTAAATGTCCGTCTAGTTTGAACTTGCCACTTGCTCGCAACTGCTGTCTTCACGGAAGCTTTGCGTTAAAATATTTCAACTCAAATCAATATTTTGTGTCTAATTATTTACTTATGTGGCAAGTAGCCATGTAATAAGCGGGATAATGTACATCCAGCCTATTGATATTGCAGAATAACCCCCTTCAGAGTGATACAAGACCCCGACGTCGGGGGTTATTCTGCGATAACAAACAGCTGGATGTACATTATCCCTTACATATATGGTATATTATTTTAAAATAAGTTCTTAATGACAATCTGGCCAGCTTTATTCAAAATAGTTTCCTTTTTTTACCATACCGTTCTACTGTGCTCTTCTTTACTTCTACATGCAGGGTGAGAGAGGCTCAATAGGAAAAAAAGGTCTGAAAGGACAGAAGGGAGAGCAAGGACCTCCAGGGCTTGATCAGCCTTGTCCTGTGGTATGTCATGAAACCATGTGAATGTTGTTGCAATGTTTTTTTGTTTTTTTTAATCCTTTCAATGCAAGTGTATGGCAAAGTCAGCTTCATGTGCATGTATTGAAAGAATTTACAACTGATAAAATTTGACATGGATGGGTTTCACTGACAGGACACCAGTGGGTTTAGAGAACATGGTGGGGAGGCAAGGGCTCCATCAGATGCCCCCTGCCCTTTGGTACAGTATTTTTTTTCTTGTGTGTGCCCACATCATTTCGATGTTTCCATCCTGGTGCTTGGGGTTCCCTTGTCCACAACCATGAGATCTGACTCTCAGGATGGCTTGGCATAGACCAGAGCTTGAAATTCCTTATCACAGGTGTTTTTATCATTTCTAACAATGCAAAGTTTTGCCCCATACACAAATGAATTCTAACCAGGGACATGCAAAACTGCATTATTTTCAAAATTGACAACTGTCAAGTGTTAAAGCAGCAATGTTGCAAACAGACAGAATTTGTGTAAGAGGATATTCTCATAACATTGACTTTATTCTTTATTCAAACTAGGGTTGTGATGGTGATGAAATTTTCCCACCGGTTAATTGACGTGTGACAACACCAGTAATACTGGTTTTACCGGGGGGTGGGGTTCGTTGGGGTTTTCCCTCTTTTCCTCCATTTTCCTTCACTTTTAAATAGCTTGTATTTAAAATGCCCGTGCGCATTTTAGTTTTACTTTTGAATTAGAGTCAATTGCTTGAATGGACAACAACAAAACGGTACAATGACAAACTCTTCTTGTCGGTCAGCTTGACTCACTCTCCTGACGTGATAAATTAAGTGATGTTTTATTAACAAGTTTCGGGAGGAGCGCGCGCAGATAATTAACACGGCCAGTTCATCATCAGTAATTACACCATCTATCCAACCAGCACAAGAGAGAACCTCTATAAATAATCAAAGCAGCCTTACCTCCATTATCTCCTGTCTTTAGCAT